GTAATACATAATCTTCTCAAACCTTGAGTCAGTTTCTCGATGTAATGTTTACGTTATTTTTTATGTTCTTTTTTTTTTCTTCATTATACATATATATATTTATATATACTAAGCTCCTTCATAATCTTAAATCTGTAAATAAACTGTATATTTTGCAGTGCATAGTAGGCTATAGAAAGCTGTTCCCTTCTTCATATATTGACACGACACATTTTTCTCTCTTTAAAAAGCAACTTTTCATGAATTTTTTACTATATTCCCTCATCGAGAAATAAGTAAAAAATCGCGATTGCGTGTGTGCGAGTATGCGAAAGTGAAGGGAACGAGATTTTTTATCATTTTTTTTTTTTTTTTTTTTTTTTTTTTTTTTTTTTTTTTTTTTTTTTTTTTTTATATCAGTACGCATGTCTACTTAATATTTTCGTACTCGTTACATTGTAAGTTTTTGCGACGACACTTTTTTGACGATTATACAAATGTTTGCGCTTTTTCGGAATATTCGACAAAAATTATTGTTGTTATTTTCTTGTATATTTTTTATTTTTATTCTATTTTCTTCCTTTTATTTTGTTTTATTCTAAAGTAATAGAAGAATCATCGAAGGCACGAATAAAGTGACACAAATACGAATTATAAATAGGAAAAGCCGATAAATATGCCGATCGACGGTAGTCCCTGTATTAGCTATCCCATATCATTTCTTCAATTATGGTTTTCGTAATTTTCCTTCCTATAAATCATTTCATAGAATGTCTCGTATTGCTAGGGTGTACTTCGTCTCGCAGATTATCATAATTGATTCGCTTCGTTCAACAATGAGAAGATTGTATTGCTGAAAAATTTCGCTCATTCCAAAAACTTTCTCCACTGTCTTATGATACAATAAGATACCTTGGCGATACGAGACAGGTGGACATGAGTTTATTTAGTAATATTTTTCATTCTTGGAGTAGTGATTGCGCATGCCATACTAAAAAAATATATATATATTCTCACGTCTCCCGCCTCTCCATGACCGGAACCGAGGACCAAACGAATTTATTCTTATAATTATATGCTATATAATAATAATAATAATAATAATAATAATAATAATAATAATAATAATAAAAATAACAATAATGCTGATGATGATGATGATAATAATAATAAAAATAATAATAATAATAATAATAATAATATGATCGGAATATCATACATTTTTTTCGTCAAATTCGGCGAGAGTTTCGTCAATACGTACGAATGCGAGTAGAAAAGGATTTTTCTCATTATTTCAATACTTTGCTTCATTTAAATTTCCATTTATATTTCACGAACTTACATATGTGTCCAAGTGAAAATAGGCGAGCAAATGCTATTACGGCGAAAACATGAGTCTTGACGAGTCGATCATACCCATAAAATAGTAAATTAATAAAAGAGAGATTAGAGGGTCACTTTAACTATAATTATTATTATAATAAAGAAAATAGTGTGTATCATTAAAGTCATGGCCAACCTGATTATAGTAGATGCCAGAATTATTTACATTAAAAAAAAATACCGTATATAAAAAATCTTTACTATTGTTAGATTACGAAACAATTTTTTTTTTTATATAACACACACATACTGCGTGAAAGTATTTTAACAAAAATTTTGACGAGATTTTTTTTTTTTTTTCAAATTTTTTGGCGACTTTTGCCGGCGCAGCTGATGAAAGTGAGTATTCACCTCCAAAACTCGAAAGAGTTGAGCCAAAGATTTTTCCGTCTCTCTGTTCGTCTGTGAATTTTTATTATTTTTTTTTCTCGTTTTTGTATGTCACATTTTTTGACAATCGGTTAGAAATTTTTTTCTTGTTTTGTCTTTTTATAAAAGGACTGCCTTTTTGCATCTTAGATTTTTTTAATTATTTAAATTCAGCGCATTGCGTCTCCGGAGAAATTCTAATCCAACTGTTCTTTTTTCCAAATGGAAATTATTTTTATAAATGCTCGACGGTGCTTATTTCATCTAAAAAATTTTATTTCACTTGTCAGAAAATTCTTTCGTTCTCTTTTTGTCCTTTATTTCTTGTTTTTATTTTTTTTTATTTTTTTTTTTTTTTTTTTTTCGCTCTTTCTTTTAGTACGTCAAGTACACATTTTTTTCATGAACGCACGACAAAAAGTGATTCATATGACAGAGCGATACACGCGAGCGTCGAATAATAATTTTTCGTTTACGCCCTTTTCTTTCTTTCTTTTTTTCCCATTCTTTTTTTCCCTTTCTTTTTTTTTTTTTTTTTTGTAATATGCGTTTATACATACATCCGCGAAATTCGTGACCATTAAGTAGATGCAGATCTGGACAGCAGTAAATAACTGAAAAAATATGCATCTTTGATTTTTCATAAAATCCCAGTGTACATTGTTTATATTACGAGCACTAATTGAGCTGCATTGGTTAACTAGATACTTAATCCTCTAATACTTTCAATTCTTTCGTATTATTGACTTAAACTTAGTCTTCGTTAAAAGGAATATGCTTACGTAATGCTTTGATTATCCTAGAAAATATTGCTTAACCCTGTTAAGCTTGTTTATATGTTAATTTCCGACTTTATCGAGTTGAGCGTATTCGAGCAATAATACTACAAACGATGTCTTAAATTCGAGTATTATTTTTTAGAATTTCGCACGTAAGATTGAGTTTGTACAATCGTAGCTGTATAACCTAATAGATGAGTAATTAGCTTTTAATTGTGACCTAATTGCATCTCGAATTGAGTTATTCACTTCCAACGGAACAAGGAAGTCTACTTTGCAGAGGTTTTTCACTTGCTTCTTGGAATCCGCCCGTTCGCCACGCCTAATAAAATTTAATGAAATTCTCAAAATAACAGAGACTCTAAACATATTTTTTCAATGCTTTAGTACTGTCCAATTCTGAGTAGTCTATGTGCTTATCTGAAAAATTAATGCAGCGTATTTATCACGAGTATTCTCGCATTACGTAGGCTAGTCTTGTCTTTATTTTTGCATATACATATATTTATATATGAGTAAAATGTCCCTTCATTTTTATTATTTGTGCGTTTAAGTATATAACCTTTATTTTCTTGCGTTATTATTCCAATAAACAAAGTTTATCATGCTTATAATAGTTGCGAACGTGTTTTCGTTTTAAATGGATTGTCCATGAGGTACTAAAATATATAATTTGTAAATTCTTGTAATTATATTTTGATGATATTAATTGATACATTAATAATATAAATAGTGCTTTTGTAAAAAAACGCTAAAACCGAATACTCTTAAGTGCACTTCATGTTACAACAGCTTTTGCAAGCACACGCTAATTTCCATCTCCTCCAAGTTTAATAATAAACAGTATTTTCGTTGTGTGATGTGTCACACTCAAGTCAACTAACGTTAATTATTAATTCAAAACAAATAATAACGTAAAATGATAATTTCTTCGTTGAATAATATTCATATCTTGCTCATTCTCTATCTATTTGTCTATATTTATCTCTCTCTCTCTCTCTCTCTCTCTCTCTCTCTCTCTCTCTCTTACTCTTAATCTGTCTACCTACCTACCTACCTACCTACTTACCAACCTATCTACTTATCTATTTATTTATCTACCTATCAGTCACTCTTCTCTCTCTCTCTCTCTCTCTCTCATATATACACACACACTCTCTCT